TTAAATTCCAGTGAAATATATTTATGTTTGTGGTTGTAATGTGACAAAATATGGAAAAGTTCAAGGGGTATGAATACTTTTGCAAACCACTGTATTTATACTTCTTATCCAACCACAATTAAATTCACTCTATCCAGGAGACACAATTTATCAGGATAGATTTTTTTAAGTAACAACTCAGAATAAAATAGGAGTAACGGCTTTCTACTTCTTACCTTTTAAAAAATGCAGCGAGTAGAAAATACAGATAATTGTGTAAAAATGTAATGAGTAAAAGTAAAAAGTACGCTGAAAAACATTTACTCAAGTAAAGTACAGATACCCAAAAATTCTACTTTACAGTAACAAAGTATATTTATTTGTACTTACAACCATGTAGCTTTGTTAGCATGGATGAAACTGTGTTCCTTCACCTATGAATTCTGCAGCCTGTAAACTGTCACTAGTGACAAATCATCAGATGGCACGTTAAATTTTGTAACGCTTTTGAAACTTTTATTCTTAGTCTGACTTCCAATCACTGACTTTAATAAGCAGGAAAATAAAACCTGAACATTTTTTTTAGTCTGAAGCTTTCACATTTAGATCTCCCATAATGACGCGGTTTGATTTATTACTTTGACGTTATGTTTCGAGGTCATTGAGGGCCAATTTTATTTTTGCCCTCATAGATCTAAATGGTATAAATCAAAGCCTAAGTAATTTCTAAAGCACTTCATGTTCAGTAGCCAGTTTTATATCTTTATTATCTCTAACAAGCTTTTCCTCTGTGCTGCTCCTAGCAGCAGATCCAGCCTCCGTGCTGTCTTTACTTGATGGTCCCAGTCGGTGGTCTGTCAGCTTTATTAAGTCCTGACAAGTCTGCAGAATGGGCAGAACATAGATGATGATGATGATGATGATGACAATGAGATGCTCAAGTCAGCAGGGTGTGTAATGGAAACAGTTAGGCTTGCTGCTAAAAAGCAGCAAACAGAGGTTGTTTTTACATGCTGTTATTGGCATTAGTCAGTGTTATCAGTGAGGAGCAGATGCTGCGTCAGGCCTTGTGTGTTCTTTTAAACACACATGAGAAGTTTCTGAGTGCGCGTGAGTCTGAACAACAGAGTGCTGCAACAACAACCCGACTCCTATAACAAATCTGAATAGAGTGTTCACATTTGATCATATCTTCTCTGTTTCCTCCCATTTCGCTTCTCCATCCTCCCTCTTGTTGAGATGTGTCACCATGGTAACAACGGGGAGCGCTCAGCCTGGCTGCATCTATCTCTCTGCAGCTGAACTATGGTTTTGCGGCTGAAATTGCCAATCAGCCCTTCGGATCCTAGCAGAGAAGAGGAGGAGATTGTGTGAATATATTTTGATTAAGCGAAATTGACGGGAAGAAAATATGATGTTTGTGTGAGAAAATGCAGCAAATAGAATACATGTTTCATTTTGTGTGTGTGTGTGTGTGTGTGTGTGTGTGTGTGTGTGTGTGTGTGTGTGTGTGTGTGTGTGTGTGTGTGTGTGTGTGTG